AGGAAGACAAAAAAAAAAAAAAAAAAGAAAAAAAATAGACTTTTCCTTTTTTTTGCCTAAAAATCACTTCTTTTTTTCTTCTTCTTCGTTTTCTTTTTTTTTTTTTTTTGCCCCCGTCAATTCTAAACTCGTCCGTGTCTCTTCCCATCGCTCTCCGTCTGTGCCTTCGCCCCCCCCCCCAACCCCCCCTCAAAAAAACAACCCCCACGAGTAACGCACATACCACAACATACATACCAGCATACATTACAAAAAGACGGAAGAAGACCGGACAAAAACGCAAAGGAAAAAAAAAGGAAAAAAAAAAGAAAAAGGAATAGCAAAAGCAAAAGCAAAACGAGGGAATGAAGTGCAGACACGTCCTGGTAGTTGCACGCATCCACTACAATTCGCTTTCAGTGTTTCTAAAGCTAAATATAAATATAAATATATATATATACATATATAACACAAAAAAGTTAATTTTGTTCTCTTCTCATGTCTTCTTCTGGGTGACGCATGTTTCCCCTCAATTGAGGCGTCTCTCTCTCTCTCTCTCTCTCTCTCTCTCTCTCTCTCTCTCTCTCTCTCTCTCTCTCTCTCTCTCTCTCTCTCTCTCTCTCTCTCCATACCTCCCCTCGCGGTGCGTCATGTCGTTAGGCGAGTATCGTAAGCATCGTATCGAGGGCTTTGATGTACCCAAAATCCCGTTCGTACGTCGCCTCGGGGTCCCCACCGCGCTGCAACTCCTCCCGTTCGTACGTGAAGGCAAAATCAACCATCACAACGCGCGAGGAAAGCAGCGGGCGATCGGCGTCGTACACAAACAGCAACGAGGACGTGAAAAAGCGGAAAACGTTTTGATTCATGAAGGCACAACGCAACCGTCGAACCTGCTTGCGAAATTTATACCGCAGGCGTTTGCTACACTGCGTAAAGCGGGAGATCGTTTCCCGCAGCTCCTCCAGTGTCAAATTTCGACCGGCAACTTTTGACCGTGTCTCGTACTGCTGCGTGTCGGGGCACCAGCGCTTCATTCCCGCTAGCCGCACACCGTACTGCATAGACGTCGAAAGCATCGCCTTGCGCTCCTTGCTACGTAGCTTTGCCTCGGACGGATTCATCCCATACTGTCGACTGCCCATCTTGATGTCAAGGATGCAGGGATGCATAAAACCTTTGCATAAATCCTCCAGAACGATCATTTGACAAAAGTTTCCCTCTTCTGTTTTTCCTTCCTTTTCAAAGGCCCGGCTGGTGGCTAGTGTGCTAGAACATCTTTGCATGGGTGTCCCATCCTGTGCGCCGGCCGACGACGGGACCCACTCACTCTTTTTTGTACTAACCCCATCCGTCTCCAGAAGCACGCGGCGAAGGCCAATGTATCGCGGAACGAACGGCACAAGCGGGATGAGAACATCCCAATGTCGCCCCTCACTGACTGCCGTTACCGTGTCCCTCTCCCGTGAGCTCCCGCCCTCCGGGCTGGGGGTGCTGTCAGAATGCATGTCGTGTGTCCCACGTGTAATCTCAGATGGTCGACGTCGTCGCCGCCACCAATTCCACTGGGCCGAGGCGGAATGTTGCCGCTCCAACTTTTTTCCCTCCTCGCCCTTTTTCCCATTTCCGTGTTGCTGCTCATCACTATTCTCCATGGCATCATTACTGCACTCCGAGGAGGAAGAGGAGGAGGAAAGCGGATAAAACGTCTCCAGTAGCTCCGGGTGGCGCCAGACGTAGTCCTGCACCGGCTTTAGCATCTCATAAAAGCGCTCCTCACGGTGGGAGCATGATTCCTTCATGAAGACACCACCCTCCAGAATGGTTAAGTGATGACCGCCAATGGATCCCATACCACCGGTGGAAGAATCCATCCGTCTATCAACCTTCACCGTCGTTGCCCCGCTACCCCCGGCACCCAACAAACCCGAGGCAGTCGTCGGGCGGCTATTCATCGTGCGCCATCGACGCACTTCGCCACGCCCACCGCCTTCGTTTTTATCACAGTTTTGGAAACTACGAAAAGCACATTTCTTGTTCCGCTTTTTCACTACTGGCTGCTCCTCCTCCTCCTCCTCTTTCTTCTCCTCGTCCTCTTCCTCATCCTTACCTGACGTTCTAAGGAAACAATCGCTGTTGTACATGGGAAGCGGGTGATGGTCGGCACATGGGCAACCGCCACCCACTTCCTCGCGTGATGACGATAAATCCTTCACGCCACCGTCAAAATGCCAAAGGTCCGGTCGACTCATCGCTTCCCTCTGCGACGTTCCCCCTCTCACGGGGGATGTCATCTTACTCTTGATACTTTGGAAGTCTCCTCGTACTGCATGTATGTTTCCATTCCTTGTCACCTCTGTGCTAATGTCATCCTCATCGTCGTCCCTTATAAGGTCCGTTGCCTCCATTTCACTTGTCCACCGCTTTTTCCCGTCCATGCCGTTACCAATCACACTCTTCTTCTTAATTCCCTCCTTCATACTGTCATCTCCATCATCAGCACTTCTCGTGCTTTCCTTAAGTGCCCCAAAGCTCCTGCTCTGGCTACAAATACTACTATGACTATCATCATCACCACCATCGCCGCCACCAGTGCGGCCGTGACGTGGTGTCTGTTCGGCGGAGCTCTTGTAACCGTCATCGTCGTCATCAACTCCTGCTGCGGCAAATTCCCCTCGCCGGTCCTTCTCGGGTGAAAGAAGGAACGGGGACTCTGGGGTGGGATTGGCGTTCTGCGCCTCTGGAATCAACGGCACGAAGGCTCTCAACATGCCACCAACCCCCTCCTTCTCCTGCTGCTGCTGCTGCTGGTGGTGGTGCTGCCCTTCCTTCTCGCCCACCATTGCTGTCCGGAGGCGATATATGGGTGGAATTTAAAAACACACACACACAAAAAAAAAAAAAAAAGCAAAAAGGAATACAGAGAGTTCCTCCCCCCTTTTCCTTTGGTTCCGTCCTTTCCTACCGCTTTTCTGTCCTTCTTCTTTTGACCTTCTCCCAAACGCTGGCGGAGCTTCCGTTGCGTCCTTTTATTAAAAACCTTTTTTTTTTTCTTCACCTGCCTTTTTGTTTGTTTGTTTGTTTGTGTGTTACCACAAACACGCACAGCGCCGTCCAATTGCTGTCTTTCTGTTTATAAAATAAAATATATAAAAAAAAATTACTTTTCTTTCACCCTTCCTTCCGGCAAGATGTCCAGAGCAGACACGCATGAAAGAAATGTGGGGGGAAGAAGATGGGGACACGACAAGCAAAAAAACAAAAACAAAACATAATTAATAATAATCAGAGAAGCATAAAACACGAAGCCTCCAAAAAACAAAAACACACACACACACACACACACACACCCCACCCAACACCGTGCAAAAGCAAAGGGGAGAGACACACATACACACACACACACAGAAAAAAAAAGAATCACAATTGCCAGGGTATATATATATATATATATTATAGGCGGATGCGTATATATGCGCACCCTCTGCTCCTCTGTTTTCCTTCCACAACTCGCATCTCCCCTTCACACGCACGTGCACCACGGATGTGTATATATATATAACTATAAAACAGTAGGCAAAAAGTAAGCAAATAAACAAACAAGACGCAAGCGATCAAACAGCAAATATAGTAAATGATAAAAAGGGGTTGGGGGGGGGGGAAGAAGAAGAAGAAAAAAAGTATGGAAAGAGAGACACGTGGGGGGCATTGTGTGCAATAGCGTGCGCGTGTGTAATGCAGCATCATATTCGCAATATAAAAAAGTAAAAAAGACTGCAATCACCGCCACCATCATCCAATCATCAACGTATTATCCGTACAGAGCACCCATTGCGGGGGGAAGGCAGGTGGAAAGCGTACATACATGTATGGTGATGATAGCGATGAGCAAATACAGGAAACCCCCCCCCCCAAAAAAAAAAAAAAAAAAACGGTATTGCATAAACACAATGAATAAAAATAAAGCAATAAAAAACAGAAACAAGTCTTTTGGGAATTCCAGTTTTCAATGTACCCTCGTGTTTCTTACATACAAGCATACATATGTCCATTATATATATATATATATATATATATATATATATATGGGACCTAAAGCAACTGAGGGAGAGAGAAAGGGGTAGTAATACACGACTTTTCCCTTTACTCCACAGCAACTCCTACGCCTTCCACAGCGAAATTACTCGTACTGCCACCTTCCATCTCCCTTTACCATTCCATCTTAAGTGGCTGGGATTGGTGCACATTTCGCCGTTGATTTTTGCCATGCTTTACCCTAACAGTCCTGTCGTCGCACATTCATTCTGCTGCTGCCGCCTCTGCCGCCTCTGACGAAAAGCCGTACTTTTATTTTCACGCGCGGCGGCGTTGAAATCTTTTACCGGAAGAAAATCTTCGCTGGCGGGACGCAAATCACATATTGGGTGCATCTCGTGGTAGCGTGACTGAAGCGGAAGTTCACGGAATATGTGGGCGTGACGGAAGAGCGCCACCTGTTCTTCTGGAGTGTACGCATGCGTTTCCACGAGATCATTGACCATTCTCTGGAAGGAGGCCGTCAACAACTTGTCACGGAGACGCTGCGCCGCAACTGCGATCGTGGACACTGGGCGAGGGATTTTGCCGTCAGCTTTTTCTGTTGCCGTTGAGTGAGGTGGAGGTGGTGCCGGGATGGAGAGGCGTCTTCCACCGGGAATATTCCCACCTCGTGCGGCTTTCTTGCCGCTAACATCATCCCCATCCCCATCCCCATCCCCATCCCCATCCCCATCCCCATCCGCCGCTAATATCATCGCTCCCGTCGTCGTCGTCGCTGCCGTCCCTTCACTGGCTGCGTTCATTGCTGGTGCGGACTTAATGCCTAAAAAGACCGGTGGTGTTGGGCGCACGGTCCCGTCCGCATTGCCGAGGGGGCTTGGATCCGTTGCCGGAGAAGTTTCTTCCTTACCTGCGTCACCAACGCCATCGTCGTCCTGCAGCATCTCTTCAAGCCACCCTCGCCGCAGCCCCCACGTCCTCAGCCTCATATCCTGAATCTGCTGCATCGCTAGCTCCTCCTCAGGTCGATCCGTTGATGACGACTGCGGTTGTCTTCTGCACAGTGGATGCATAGAGGGGAGTGAATGTTCCTCGGCCAGGCGCCGCAGGGCGGACGGCTCGTTCCTTGACGCGTGATTTATTGCCGTCGTCTCTGTTCCAAGCGGAGAACGCACGAGGCAAAATTCCTCCTTCCGGATGAAACGCCAGCGATGCTCCAGCGCAACGCAGGGCGGTTGCCACAAGGTGGACGTGGGGGGAGAGGACAGCTGAGGAAACACGGACAAGGGGGACGAATTTGATGAGGTTTGGGATGGTAATGTTTGGTGTGGCTTCTGCCCCCTCGCTCTAGCTCTAGAGGTGGACGCGGAAGGGGAGACTGCTGCTGCCACACGGGGCAGTGGTGGCACGGCGGCGGTATCAGCGCTCACACGAAGCGTGAAGTATGTGTTTGTTGTAGGTCCGCGAATAGTGTAGGCGTGTGTCTGCTTAATTTTCCTTGTGACCAGGGAGGGCGGTGCGTTCCCGCATGGGGTTCGCATTTGCCCTCCTCCTTTTTCTTCCTTTTCCTCCGCTGCTTGCATGATTTCTCCCTGTGAGTAGCCACGTCACATATGAAGAGGAAAAGGGAAGAAGTAAGGCGAGAACGCAGCAAAGATAGATAATCCACACGCATACACTTGCATAATTTGCTGACGGAGAAGCCGAAAAAAAAAAAAAAAAAGAAGCGAAGACAACATGACACGCATTTTAAAAACATGTCACTTCTAATAAATAATATATTTCCTCTTTTTTTTTTCAAGGAAGTAAAATAAAGCAAAAAAAAAAAAATAGAAAAAGACCCCGCCCTTTCCTCCAAAACCAGAGGGAAGCACCTACAGTTTTTTCCCCCTCCTTCCGTTCCCTTCTAACCACACAAGGTGCCTAAGATGCACACCTTTACATTGCCATCGGAGGGCTGATCAACAGTTTGGACAGAACAAACAACAAACTCACCACCGCCACCGCCACCAAATGTTCCATGAGCGCATATCATGACGACATGTTCCCAACAACTCCGCAAGTGACACCACACATGCAGGGCCGTTCTCAACGTGCCGTGAATTTTCCCTTTTTTTTTTTCTTTTACGTTGGACGCAGGACGCCACCGATGTTTACATCCCGCGGCTTCTAACGAGTCTCCCAGTTGGTGGCAAGTCACAGGCCCCATCTGTCCCCGTGACGCACATGCGGTGACCGCCCTCCCCCCCCCTCCAACTCTTCACACACAAAAACAAACAGAGAGAGAGAGAAAGCAAGAAATGACATCTGAGGAGAGGTTCGGAGCAACGACGGAAGTAAATTTCCGCCGACATCTTTCATGGCTGCAAATACAACCGGACCGTGGCGTACGGTCGCCAGCACTTCCCTCTCCCATTATTTCCCTCCAGAGAACGTAACGCCCAAAAAAACAACACACACACACACACACACACGCGGGCAGTTTACATGCATGGCAAAAAAACTCCCCTCCCACACCCACACAAAAGTAAATTCCAACGAACCGTAAATTAAATATCTACCTCATTTTAATCCCTTTTTTTTTTTCTTTTTTTTTTTTTTTCCATTACGCTTGTCTATCAATTCCTCCCATTCGTGACATCTCCCCCCGCCACCTCCGGTGACTCAATAACACTACATCCGCTTATGTGCGCATCGCAGCGGGCAATGCGCAGATGTAGAGATAATAATAATAATAAAGTGGGCAGGGGGGGCAGGTTACATGTGTATATTTATACATCCATACATAAACATGCACGTACACCCAAATATTGCATTATATGCATTTCCAGGCAGTTTTTTTTTTTTGTTGTTGTTGTTGTTGTCTCTCTCACCTTCCAAAATCAGCGAAGATCAAAAGTAATAACAACAACAAAAACAAACAGACAGACAGACAGACAGAAAAAAAAAAAAAGCCTTGTATTGCCGTCAAAGCCATATGTATATATATATGTATATATATTTACTGACAAAAATTTGGAATAGGACAAAATTGCTGGTACGCAAAAGTGCCTGCAATTCATTTATCCATCCATTCACTGCGTGAATTATTGCGGCAGGAGTCACGGCAAAGGAGCCGTGTGCGAGAGGCCTCGTGTGCCACCCCTCATCCGCCGATGTTTACGTGTGGGCATTTGCTTCAGTGCAGGAGGTGCCGGCGTTTTTGTTTGTGAAGCCCCGGCCTTCTCCATTTGGATCGGCGGGCTTCTCGCCATCGTTGCCGTTGGTGGTTGGGAGATCGTAGAGGCCCGTCATCTCACGTTGCGCGCCCAATGAACTCATCATGCCAGTCGGGGACGTGCGGCCGAAGCCTCTGCCGCTAAATGTCTTCTCGGGCTCCCCAGTGACATCCGTCGCCGTCCCGGAGCCATTTCCAATCGGCGACGGGCACTGACCGGTAGGAAATATGCCCAAAATGAGTTTGCCTTGCCGTTCGTCGTAACCATCGTTGTAAAAGACGCCCCGGCTCAGCGGGGGGCCCTCCCTATCGTCCTCAGCGGGGATGTCATCGCCATCCGAGGTCTCGCATTGAACAATCACCCCCTGGAAGCCGTTACGGGCGACATAGCGGCAGTACAGGTACGACCCGATTCCCACCAGAATGAGGAATGCGACAAGCGACAATCCAATCGCGAGGGAAACCATGGAAGAGACGATGGCGGCAGCAAAACAAAATATTGCCGATGGCACGAGACAGAGTGCAGCAGCGACAGTGTTGCAGGGCAAGGCATATGGCCGCGGTAGATCTGGGTGGTCAATGCGCAGTTTAATAAGGGAGGCGTAAATCAGCAACATGCGCAGACAGTAAAGTGACTGACACATCGCCACAACATCACCAAAATCAAAGGAGATACAGAAAATCAACGTCACGGTCGCATTCAACACAATTGCTGGTATCGGCGTGCCAATGGTTGGGTGATAATACCCAATGATACGTGAGATCCTCTTGGGAAACATCTCCATCGTGCCCATGCCTGCCAACAAGCGGCTTGTACAGCACATCGACGTCAGGGTGAAACCCACCCCACTCACGATGGACCCGGAAAAGAGATAGTACTTTAGCCAATCTCCAGAAATGATGTGTGCGATCTGTGGCCAACGCCCTGCTTGCCAGTCGGCCCAATTCTGATGAGGACCAAGCGCGCTGACCCCAGCCAACATCGGAAGCAGATATGCAATGTACGAAGAAAACATAAGCGGCACCATCATGATCGGGAATGTCTTTTTTGGATTCGATACCTCTTCAACCATCGCCCCCGCATTTTCAATGTTGGCGTAGTTCCACGTCACCATGCTTAGAAATGATGCCCAGTCAATACTTGACGCGTTTACATGCGCAATGGCCTGACCATCAAGGCCGTGGGTAAATATTTGCTGAAATGAAAGTATCAAAAATGGCATCATGGCGACCACACACACCACCACGCAGGCCGATCCGACAAGTTCAATGCCTGAGCAATTGAGAACACAACAAAAGACAACAACTCCAATCTTCACACCAATTTCTGCGCCCTTGTTCAAAGACACAAGTCCTGTCACATACGCAGAGGCAAGACTGGGATATGTTGCATTGCCCACAAACGTAATGAACACTGTCGTGATAATGCAAAAGAACGAGACATAAGGTGGGAAGGCTGCATTCACCCACATGAGAACACCCGAGTTGCTCGGCACTGCTGTGGACAGTTCCGCCACCGCCAGACCCGTTGGCAGGGACCAGACCCATGGCAAAATAAGACACACCACAAGTGTCACAAGCGGGCCCGCTGCGCCAACTGTGTCTTCAAAGCCGTAGCCGCCACCAAAGCAATTCGCAAACATCAATGCAAAGAGACCCACAATTCCAACCGATCCGCGATGGGCAACTGCCTCGCCAGCACGCCGTACCCATTCCGGCCGTCGAATTACCTCCTGCGTGCGCCTTAAGGTTGGATGAAAAACAGGTCCCACATGATTACGCCTCCGTACCAGTGTCTGGAAGTTTGATTCACCACCGGGATTCATAACACCTTCCCTTCCTGTCAACCTAAACCTTCACGCCTCACTCCTTCTCCTCTTTTTCTCCCTTCTCCCTATGCCTATCGTAACCAAGTCTGCTAAGGGTATCTATGTATTTGTATATGTGTATTATACACAGCCGTTTCCCCCCCCCCCCCCCTTAACTTCCTTGCCTTTCCTTACCCCTTTTTTCAACTTAAAGTACCCTTTCCAAGACAACCCCCTTTATATATGTTTATAAATCCAAGAGCAATCTACGCAGCAAAGGAAGATCGAGTAGGCGGGCCCAGTACTGCTGGAAGAAATGAAATTCAGTTTCAAGAGGGTAAAAAAAGTTGCCAACCAACAAACCAACTAACAAAAAAACAAACAAATAATAAATTTTGCGTTTGTTCTGTTCAACCGTTTGTGTCTCTTTCTGTCTGTTAAACTCCAAGTGTTCCTGCGGGTGAAATGCCCGCGCTAAATTTGCAACGTCGCCTCTTCGCCGAACCGAAAAAAAGAAGGGAGAGAGAGAGAGAGAGTAGAAAAAAAAAAAAGAAAAAAAGTGTGGAGAACAAACGGGGATTACACACCAACCATGCATGCAATCACACAGAAACAGACAAAAAAGAGAGGATGCGGGTGAGTGGGTGCAGCACACACAGCGCTCACGGCGTAGTCGAGAACTTCTCTTCCCTTTGGCTTGATCTTTTTTTCTTTTTTCCTCCTTTCTTTTCTTCTCCGGCTTCTATTCCCCTATCACGTAATTTTTCACATCGACCACTCACGATGATGTCAGCTTTTGCTCCTTCTTCTTTTCCTTTTCCGCCTCTGCCGCCTCCTCTGCCTCACGCTGGCGGTCTGCTTCTGCTATGAGCGGCTTGAGGTCTGTTTCTCTCAGTATCTTGAACTCCGGCACCGTCTTTGGCAACACACCGTACGGCTCCAGCAACTTCTGCGTTGCAGGCGCCGGCACCTTGTGCAGGACAGCCACTTCAAGACGCTCGGCTGAGAGCTTGACGGTATCCATCGTCTTTCCCAGAACGCGCAGGCACAAGACAATTCCCTCATCGAGCGTAAGCTCAGACCTCCAGTCCCTCTTGAGCAGTGATTGGGCCACCTGGTCGTTCTGGCCAATGGCGTAGGCGCGCCAGGCGTTGTAGTTGCCGCTGGTGTCCGTGTGGTACAGCTGGTACCCATGGTGGCGGTCCCACCCAGCCAAAAGGAAAGAAACCCCAAACGGGCGGACCCCGCCGTATTGCGTATACAACTGCTTCTCATCGCATAAAAGCCGGCAAAGATCCTCCGCAGCCATCGGCTCTTGGTACGTGTAGTGATGACGACTCGCACTAAGTCGAGCGTAGTTGAGAAGCGCGTAGGCATCGGAGGTTACACCCGCCACACTGCAGCCAATGTGACTGGCAATTTTGTACAACTTTTCACCGCTGATGTTCTTGTCCTCCATGTTTTCCGAGTCAAAGAGACTGTTCTGCACTCCCTTTTCCGCGCCCAGCACGACACCGCCGGTGGTGAGAATGCCAATGACTGTGCCGGCCTGCGAAATGGCCTCCTCGGCGTACTCCACCTGATAAAGACGCCCCTCAGGGGAAAAGGTGGTGGTTCGGGAGTCGTAGCGCGATGACATTTGACTTGAAAAAAAAAAAAAAAAAAAAAAAAAGCCGGTTCCCAAAACGCCCTTTGCTACCGTCGCTCTCCTTTCTACAACTTTTTTCTTTTCTTTTTCCCTGCCGTGCACGAGTCAATGATCCGAAACACAGTTGTGATGGATATATAGATGGATATGGCGTGTTGAACTTGCGTTTTTTTTTTATTTTCTTTTTAAATTTTAAATTTAAATAATAATAAAAAGGCTCTACACCCATCGACAGAGGCGAAGCAAAAAAAAAAAAAGAAGAAGAAAAAAAAAAAAGGGAAAAGAGATAGAGAGAAGGAGTCGTGATCAGTGAACACAAGCCGCATACATAAATACATGCAGATACGCATGCATGCATAAATACCAGTCACTCCGTGCAATGTGGAATCCGGGAAGCGGAACTAATGAAGGTGTGTGTGTGTGTGCGTGTGTAGGGTTGGAAAAGACTGGCAAATAAAGAGAGAAGAAGAAAGAAAAAGAAGAGAGAAAAAAAAGAGAGAGATAGAGATAGATAGGGAAACACGCACCCGCCGCAGACACCCAGCCTCCCCCACCTCTTTACAGTCAGCAGCGGCCCAAGGAGAATGATAATTATGTACACACACGCAAACTATTGTGTGTGTGTATTTATGCATGGATGTGTACGGGGAGATGAAGGAACGATGAAAGTGACGTGCCGCGACTGTAGTAAAACAACAACAACAACAACAACAACATAAAAGCAGCCATCCCCTCCCTGCACTGTACCGCCCTGAATACATTTCTCACCGCTTAGGGTTGAGCTCTCGGTTTTTTTTTTAATAATTATTATTGCAATTGGAGCACATCACACAACGCACATCACAGGCGTTCTCCCGCTCATTCACTCCACGGATAGTCAAGGGCCCGCTGCTTCTCCCGCTGAACGGCCCCCTCCTTTTCCACAAGTTGCCAAATGCCGCGAGTCACTTCCTCTTCCACACCGAGACGCTCTGCCACGGCATACAACCGCTGCCGGTCCTCCTCCGGCACTTTGTGGTAGCGGTGGAAGCTCGCCGCACGCATCGCGTCGTACACAAAACATCGCACTTCCGGCAAATTGCCAAGCTCCCTGGCATCTAAACTCCCGGCCTCTGAAGATGCCGACACCGTTCCTTTCCCCCCACTGCTACTATTCATGGAGCTGTTGCCCGTACCATTTCCGTCATTAGACGCCTCCTGCATCCTCTTGCAGAGCGTCGTAAGGAGGTAATCGCGGTAGCGCTCCACGTCCTGCTCCGTTCCGTCATGCTTCAGTGCAATACCCAATAGTTTTTCCGAGGCACCCACAAGAGCAGAGCAGCCGGCTACCCAATCGCGCGCCAATCGCCCACCTCCGCTTGCATGAACAAGAGCCTTGCAGTACAACACCCGCACCGCGTCGTCGAGCTTCCCCTTCTCCTTGCTATTTGCCGTGTCCCATTCGCCAAGGAGCGGGGACGCATTGGCGCCATAGAGAAGCCGAGAAAGCCACCATGACGAGCTGCCATGACGAACGAAGAGTGTTGGAGACAAAAAAACCTTCATGCGGGACAGACGACGCATCTAGAGAATGTTTTTGCCTTGATTGCCTTTCGTCTTCGCTCTAGGGGGAGGGGGGGGGGGGGGGGGTCAGGAGAGAAGAGCAACATGAAGTGGAGAAGAAATAAAAAACGTCACATGGGGAAAGGGACAGAGTGCAGTCAAAAACAACTGGGAAAAAACAACAACAACAGGGAGTGAAAGTGGGTTTGGTGGGTGAACGACTTTGAATGTGTATTCGTGGGCCAATAAAAACAACAACAACAAAAGGAAAAAGCCTCATCAAAAGTGGCCACCGATAACTTGAAACTTCCGTAAAAATTTCACCCATACACACATATAACAGACACACGCCCATGTCATTTCTACGACTAATTTTGTTCCGCTTTCGTGGTGTTTTCCCGCGGCTGCGACTCCGCGCAGAGCTCCTGCATCTTGGCGTAGTCCATCACCCCCACAGGGGCATCGGCATCAATGGCGCGTACCGCCGCCTCCGCCACGAAATCGACGTCCACGGGCGGCAGCAGTATGCCTCCCCGGTGCAATGGTCGCAGGACGGCCTCCAGTGGGCGTCCAAGCAGCCAGAGTGGCAGCGGAACAAATCCTTCCCCCAGCGGCACATAACGCGTGCCGTAGATAAACCCGGGGCGAAGCACAACGCCGCGATCGCCTAAGTTTTCCAAAACAGCCCGCTCCGCAATTTTTTTGCCGTAAAAATACCCCTTTAGAAGCCACCTGCTGCCAAGAACAGGGAGGGCCTCGTGGTACGGCTCAGCCGACACCAGCACCATCCGTCGCACCCCTTTGCCACGCTCATATAGCGCGGCCGCAATGTTGACGTTCGCATCGCCACAGACACGCCTGGCCTCGTTGTGATCGCGCGTCAGAAGCCCGATGCAACTCACAACGGCTGTGGCGTCAGGATTGTCCTCAATGAAGTGGAACACCTGCGAACGACTTGTGGCGTCAAGCGAGACAAACTCCAACGGGCTGTGGAACGGTGTTATTTGCCTCGTGGCGTCCTCGGCAACGTCCGTGGAGTTCTCCTCCGGCGGGTGGTGATGCCGCAGCACGGCCTCATCGAGCAGCGGAGATCCAACTGGCGGCAGCCCACCCCGCGATGCGCATGTGACCTTCCATCCGCGCTGGAGTGCCTTGTAGAGCACACGTGACCCCACAAAACCCGTTCCTCCAAAAAGTAGAAGTTTTCGTGAGGCCATTTTTTTTTTTCAATCACCTGCCGCCACACACGCACAACTCCCTTCCACGCACACACTGCTCGCGCGTGTGTGTGTGTTTTTGTTTGTGTTTGTGAGCCACGGGTTTCGCGCAATAAAAAAAAAAAAGAGTAAAGGGCAAAGAAGGTGTGCGCTCCGTCTGAGGCACAACCCTCCCCCCTAACCCTTCCCCTCCTTTTTTTTTTTTTGGTCTTGCTGTTGTTGGTGGACGACTCCACTCAAGCAACTCTCCCTCTCTCTCCCACACACACACACACACACACAAACGCAGTAGCAGCAGCGCAGGAGAGAAGGGATGAGAGTGAGTGAAGAGACATAAGTCAATTGGCACAAGAAAAAAAAAAAAAGAGATGGAAAGGAGTAATTCACTGGCGACAGCCACGTGTACATGGAAAATAATAATAATAATAACAAATAACGGGTTTCATGCATCTCCTACGCCCTCACGTACAATAACACACACATATACACAGATACACGCACTCTCTGTCTGTCTGTCTTTCCGTCTTTCTCTGTATGTTAATAATGATAGTAACGTGTGTGCACTACAGATATCATCTACGCACCCATCACACAGACAAATTATTCCTTCTCACTCCCCTTCATTCTCCTTCTCCTCTATTTGCACACAAATAATGCCTGCGTGTCTCTGTCTGTCTGTCTGTCCGTCTGTGTGGCACTCCCCTCCAGAGGCCCCACGTTTGGTACATTCCTCTCATTTATTTCAAAGGCCACGGCAAATTTTGATCGTCACTCCTCCCGGCCCACCACACACAAATACGAGAAAAAAACAACAACCAACGAAAACAAAGATGGGGAGGTGCAGAGCAGGAAGCCAAATAAAAATGATACAACGGACATCTGCAGGCGACATGAGTTCAGAGATCCCTGCGGAGAATAGAGGCACCTCCCACCCTCCACCCTCCCCCTTGTGCATACATGCCCACAACCATGCATGCATGCATCCACACAAAAAAAGGAGAAAAAAAGAAAAAAAGAAAAAAAAAAAGAGCCACTTAAACAACTTCAATGAGAAACCAAAACAAACCAAACCAACACACACACAAACACAAAACAACAACCATTGTTTCAATGGCCCTCCTTTCAAATTTTTTTTATTATTTTTTTAAAGGGTGTTTTTTTTTCTTTTTTTAAATTATGATTACTTTGTTTTATTCGTCTATCCCCTTCCATTCACTGTAATTACCAGCCAACAACAGTAATACATGTACATACAAATATATATATAAATATGTGTACGCATGCATACGAGAAAAGGAGGGGAAAAAAAAGTAAGTGGGGGGGGGGGGGGGGGGGGGGGAAAAA